AAGAAAATAAACAATCTTAAGGTAGAGAGCATCTCATAGAGACGAACGTAAAGAGGTAAAGAGGTTCATGGTGGCCTGGCAGTATCTGGTTGTTTACCTAAAATAGATGGGCAATTGGTAGTGAAGATTCTTCTCTCTCTTTTTTTTTTTTCCAAAAAGTACCCCTTGAGTTTCCACCCAATGTGATTGGTTTTGAAATTGTCAAGCCCTTTAGAGACATATGAAAAAAACAGGGACTCTGAACGCAGCTCAGTACAACAGGTGTGGCTGCATGTGACGTTTGAGAGACACTTGAGTAAGGCCAGCAAGAAAACACACACACACACACACACACACACACACACAAAATACAGATCCATGTAGACACATATATACATATGCACATGCACACACACTCACCCACACACACACATGCACAGACACACTCACACACACACATCTGAATACACTCGAGATCAGGCTGCTAAGTCTAATATATTAGAATTTTTTCGTAAAGCACTAGATTAGGCCCCCAAGGAAAACAGTGCATTTTGGGGAACAGACGTACATTACATTTGCATAAAAATAGAAATTTTGGGTCCATGAAAAGACTAAGCAGCTCTAGGAGACCCCTGGCACCCCCAGCTTGCTCACTGCCCTTGAGAGGTGGGAGAAAGACTGAGGCTAATTCTCTAAGACAAACCGAGAGGAGGCCCGGGTCCCCTTCACCTGTCTACCTTGTAGGCAGGGTACAAGGAGGTCTAATCAGAGTTCTCAAGCATCTGCTTTTTACTGAAATGTCTGGGGGCCTTCACTGAAGGGGCTCTTGGTTCATTTTGTCCTGAGCGGCCCAGGCATCTGAGCTACCTAGTTAGCTTCTTGGGGGTCTCTCTGTGTTGTGAGGGGAGCAAAGAAATACTGAGGTGGTCTCGGTACCTCTTCTACCCTATGGTGGAGGTCAACCCAGAGGGGCCAAGGTAGGGTGCAGTCCAGGGTGAGGGTCTGCGCTCCACAGGCCTGAACAATACGTCCCCACCTGCCACCATGAGCTAATGGACCAGGGAACTCACTAGAACTTACCATCTTGATTTTTTCCCCCTGTAAGTGGAAATTCTTGGTCTATGTATTTTACAAAAACCATGGGGGGGGGCATGGGAAGAAATAAATAAATCTTTTCTTATAAAGATGGAAAGACAGTTGTAAAAACCAGGTCATTAATAAAAGCAATGTGTCCTTAGTGAATGAGTGCAGAGAAGGACAGTAACCCAAGCTGTCCATCCGTCCCAGGTTGAATGGACTCACTGGGTGGCAACGGTCGGCAGGGGACGTGTGACTGGAGGTAGCTCACTGGGGTCCACCCTAGGAGGATCCATCTTTCCTGTGGCCCTTTCCTCTCACTCTGTTCCCTGGCCACCATCATGGAGAGGCACTTCTCCACTTCACCCTTCCGCCATGATGTTCTGCCTCGCCTCAGGCCCAGAGCAACGAAGTCAGCCCATCACGGACAGAATCTCAGAAACAGCCTCGAGGAAACTTGTCCTCCTCTTATTGTTCTCCTTAGATATTTTGGTCACGGTGGCAAAAAGGTGGCTAATACTTCCATCATCTCAACCTGTTGGGATTTGGACCTTAGACTCTCCAAAGGCTCATGTGCTAAAGACTTGGTCTCTGGTCCAGTGGCGCCACTGGGAGGCGGTGTGACCTTTAAGAGGTGAAGTTGTGTGGGAAGAAGTCAGGTCATGGGGGGATGCCCTTGAAGGAGACACTGGGTACCTTCCTCTCCCTCTGTTTCCTTCTAGTCATCATGAAGTGAGAAGCTTTGCTCCGTCATGTGTTCCCCCGATGAGGTTCTGCCTCACTATAGGTCCAAAGTGGTGGGGCCAAGTGACTATAAAATGGTACTTCGAAAACAAACCTTTCCTTCTTTATGTTGATTTTCTCAGGTATTTTGTCACCATAACGGACAGCTGACTGACTCACAGCCTAAAGCACCAATATCTTAAATGGCAAGTCTTCACAACTGAGATCATTAAATACTAAAATGACTCTAATTGCTCAGAAGCTGCAGCTCCTCACTAATTCATACACTAACCCAATAAATGAGCCTGAGATAATCACCTTGAATGTGATGCTTGGTGGTTCTTGTCTCCTGTGAGGGCACCAGATCTTCTAAGTCCTTGCTCTCCCAGCGATGGGCCATCTTCAC